ACCCAATGCCTACTGCTGGACACCAGGATGGTGGGTGGTGATGGGTGGTGGGATACCTACCTACAAACAAGGCACGCACCTTTACCATCCGTGAATCGATTCCATGAGTTGATTGATTGATTGACTACCTGCCTGCCAGTGCCTGTGCTGGGGCAGGAATTGTGGATGTTCGGTGACAGGCACTTCCTGGACCGTGGGTGAGCACCAGCAGCAAGGAAAAAAACACAGCCAGTTGACTGCAATAGGTACGGTTACATCTCCCTGTCGCCAGTTGGCCAAAGCGCGGACCTTTTCTGAATTTTCAATCCAATGAGACTTCCCGCGCGAGCGATGACCATACCGACCCCATGCACAATGGGCATTTCTTGAATTGGATATTGACATGCATGTTACTTTATCACATTCAGATTTTCCGGGCCCATGGTCTGGTATTTTCTTTCATCCACCCATCGAGAAGCTATATTTGGCCAAGAAAGTTAATACTTGACTGCCGTGCTGTTTACCAAACTACCTCGCTACACTGCAGGTCCCTCGCCTAGCTGAGGTCCAAAAGTCTCAATATGGGGATAGGTGCCAATGAACAATATCTTGAATCCACAAAGGGGCATTTTGCCATGGCCACAACATGAGAGGGAGGTCCAGAGACTCTCAAACATTCTGAATCAAAGAACAAAGACAAGACGATCCCCTGACCGGCGCAATGTAGTGTCTGTCGTCTATTCGAAAATGTTTTTCATCTCGACTGCAATGACGGAGCATGTTGCAGCATATCGAATAATCGAGACTTGGGTAGATGCGTTTAGTCGTCAGTATACAGTATACTACGACTATGATGGTACGACCACCTTGCTAGATAGTCTTGATCGATAGTCTTGATCAAATGCCATGTTGAAATATGGAGAACGGCATCTAGAGCATTCATGCCAAAAGGCTCACGTCTTACAGATCCTCCATGACTACCTGCTGCTCTGCGCCCAGAACACCTCCGCTCACCATCTCAGCCTCCAGCGCCTTTCCGACATTCACCTCCGCAAACGATGCAGGCTCGTCCAAGAAGCTCAGTCCCTCGACAGCCTTGCCCCCGCAAGCTCTCTCCAGTGCCAGAAAGGCGAAATGGCCTCCAACGACCGGTCTAGCCATGAAGTGAGGGCCGGGCCAGCCACCAGTTCCTTCTGTTTCGTAGAGATCGGTGAAGGGTCGGTCTTTTGTCACATCATGGTCAGCAAACAACATGTCGTCCAAGGTAGGAAAAAGTGACAGGTTCAAGTCTCCGACTTACCTGTTGTGGTCTCATTGACCCATGTCGCGACGCTCTGGAGAATCTCCATCCGGGTCTTCTTGCTCGACACCGCAGCGGCGAAGAACTGCCAGTCACTCTTCGTGTAGAGGTGGCGACTGTCGAGCGGGAGCCCGTAGTGCTGCAATACGGCATGGTACCAGTTGCTCTGCATACTGTACACCTTATCCGGAACAAACGTCGCCTGCTTCTCGACGCCAATGGCCTTTTGGATCCACTGCGTCACTCGTCCTCCGAGGGTCGACTTCTTCTCCTCGGGCAAGTGGAAGCAGAGCAGCGAGTCCGCAAAGAGATTATAGATGGTCGTCCAAGAACCGTACCAGGTGTACGCCAGCTTGGCATGGGTGCCGTCTCTGGAGATGCCAAAGCCTTGCCACTGGTCAATATAGTCGGCTGCAATGTCCGCGTAGTACTTTGAATCGTCCGTCTTGCCAAGAATATTGGAGATCTCGGCCATCGCCTTGATTCCAATGATACCCTTGAGGGCCAGGTTCGTCTGGTTCGATAGCCATCCAGCAAAGTCGTCCGTGCAGAGTTGGTTGGCCGGGATCAGTGATTCGCGAACGAGATAACCCGTCCACTTCGTCCACAACTCGTAGGATCTGGACGCCCATTTCTCGGCCTCCTTTGTGCCCCTCATAGCAGCGACCTCCGAGCGACGGTCGATGCCAAAGGAGTCCATGGAAAGTCCCCATGGGCGAGCACTGCTGGTCTCTGCCTCGAGAGAGACATGGGAGTGCGCATGTTCGTTGATAGTTTGCAGGAACGCTGGCTGCGTGTCGTACTTGAAGGCGTTGACAAGTGCCAGTGCCATGATGAGCATGTTTCCGCACTCCTCAACAGGCATGTACTCATCATTCCCGTCAGGGTGTCCAGTCGCATTCGGGAAATGAGCACCCAGGTCATGCATGCTGTAATCATTCGGATACTGTCCGCTAAGCTGATGTTCAAGCAGAGGCTCCAACAGGTATGCCAGCCAACGAGGGTTCGTGTACAGGAAGAACGGGAACGCAGGGAAGATCACATCGACGGTCTGGAAGTTTCCGTTGGAAGAGATCTCCTTGAGGAAGAGGATCGGGTCATCGGGGGTTCCAGAGAATTGTGTTGCGCCGAGGACCTGGCGAGCTGACAGGGCGGCAATGTCCTGGTAATCTGATGACCCAGAAGCAAACGCATCAATGGCAAGCTGATTCGAGTAGTTCCCAGCCAGTAGGCTAGCCGCCGAAAAATCATCGTAGTGGTACTGGATCAGCTCGGCCGGGGTGGCAAAGTAAAAGGACCACAACGGGCGCATCTGCGTCAGTCCTCTTGCAGCGGCGAACTGGACCACGGGGTCTTGGACAAGAGCAAACGTGAATAGTACACTATCATCAGACGTCGACTCGATGCCCGTCTTGCCACTCAGGTGAAAGGTCTTGGAGAAAGCAAAGACGGGTTCCTCGTCCATGATCTTCCTGTACGAGGTATCGATCTCGTTCGTCAGAGAGCCCTTCGTCGCAAACTGTTGGCGAAGCTTCGCGGACGTGCCGGCTTGGTGGTAGACGTCGGCGGGGCCGGTAAAGTGCAGAGTACCCCATTCCGCGTGGTCGGCGAACTCGGTGAGCAGTTGCGGATACTGTCTACCAACTTGCCAGGTCTTTAGAGCAGCAGCGCTCTGCTTGTTCGAGGCCTTTGCCTTGCTCAGTTCCCAGACTATGCTGTTGTCCCTGTTGCCGCTGACCCACTCGCCATTGACATCGGTGTAGATGTTGATGTCGAAAGACCCTTCGGCGTGGACAGTCAGATACGCAGCAGGGATCGATTGTCGGAAGGTCGAGGTGGGCGTAATGGGCGAGAGAAAGGAGAGCACAACCTTGACCGGCGCGGCAGATCCGGGTGGAGGGGGGATCGAGTAGGTCAAGTTCGTCGTCGAGGCGTCAAAGGTTGCGCCTAGGTAGGACGGGACAGATACGTTGTAGTATCTGAAGGCATGTCAATTTACAATCACGAAGATAGGTAGCAGCCAAACCCACTTGGAAGATGGGGGCAATGAATCCTGGGGCCGTCCCAGCAATGGGTAAATGGTATTGGAGTCGGGCACCGAGGCCATTACCGAGAACCCGACCTGATGGGATTATCCCCAGTTAGCCAGACCACGCGCCTGGAGTGGACGGCAAGTCAAGAGAGCTTACGCTAGAGCCGGTCCAGAAGTAGGGCCAATGTTCCCACGGCGCATCGCGAGCATTGCCGAGCCAGGTACTCAGGTACGGGTTGCGAACAATTAGAGGAAGTACAGGAGGAGTCAATGTGGAAGCGCTGGCCGTCGCGGCGACCACTAGTAACGAGGATAAACGCATGATGGAATGAGCTTCCCGAGAACCAGCTCCGAGAACAAACGGATTCTTGGCGGGGTCAAGCAGTAGAGGAGGATGCGGTCAAGGAAGGCAGCGAGAGTACCAAAGTGAAGTAGGCAGGAAAGGTTGCGCCTCCTTGCGATGCAGGCTGTGAACTTCGCAAAGAGGGAGGATGGCGACAGTATTTGACACACAGGGGGAGCAGGTGAAGAAGTTGAGGAGAGGTCAGGAGAGAACGACTCAAGCAAGAAACGGCTTCGTCTTCTTCTTCCTCGGCTTTGTTTTACAAGTAGCTCCAAGCACCGGCTGACAGCTGTGGCACACAACCAACCACGAGAGGTACCTGGACTTGGGCTACGTCTAGGAGCTCCAAGCCGACACGGGAACAGTTGGAGAAATCTGGGGTCGTAGCTGAAGGTAACGCCTGGGGGTCACAGGTAAAGCACCGGATCAGCAGTGCGGTTGCAGGAGAGGGCCGGATGTACGTCAGGAGAGCGGGTCAGGTGCTTGCAAGGCTGCATCGCCGCATCGTACACAGGTTATTTGGGCCCCATCGTGATCCGCCCAGGTTAGGTATGGCCAATGAACGCAGCAGTTGCGACTCGACCGGCTCCAATCAAACGTCAAGTGCCGCGCCACGAGCCCCCTGTTTTGCGGAGACGGCGGGGTTGCTTTGTGCGGGGTTGAGAGCTCTCAACTTATGAAGGAAGGCACCTGTGTCCATTGTTAGCTACCAACTATCACCACTTCTGGGTAGACATATAGGTAGTCATGTAGTGTAGCACCTTCCTTTCTAGATCTGTCACCTGTTTCTTGTAAACTTTCTGGAAGCACAAGTTAAGGGAGCCCCCAACGCCATCTTATGTTTGCACGTTTTCCAATTTAGGCGAAGTTTGGATGGAAGCCTCAGCAAAAGTTGATGAGATTAAACGACAATCTCCCTACAATGTACACACACTACGCTACCAACTACAGGGATGGCATCCGCATGAAATCGAGCCAAAATAGCAAGTGTGATTCCATTGCAATAGCGCGCCTTGCATATTCTACCTCTCTAGAACAAATGTGGTATTAGTTGCTGGACTCCTCAAAGACTTGGCCATCTCCTGCTGGCCATCATTCATCTTGTTATGGGGAGTTGCCCAAAAATCTCACCCGCGTCGGGCCGGGTCAACTTCATGCGAACACAGATGATCTAGTTAGGTTGACAAGACATGATTGGGCGCGGATCTGCGTAGAAAACGCGGGACATCTTGCATTGTTCTACAACCAAGAGCCATTTCTCGACATGCGCTCGTGAACTTCCTCAAACTTCGCAGACAGTCTTCGCCTACACTATCTTTCTGATACGACACCGTACTGCTGATAAAATGGCATCGCTTGACGGAAAAGTATACGCCTTCACTGGGGGGGCCAGCGGTATTGGCCTTGCAACGGCTAAGATCATCGCAAAGCGGGGTGCCACTGTGTGCCTTGCAGACATCGACCCCGAAGCTCTTGAACAAGCCAATGCCTACTTCACGGAGCAACAGACGCCTTTTTCGGTGACAAAAGTCGATGTGTCCGTGAAGAACGAGGTGGAGACCTGGATAGATGGCATACTCAAGCAGTTTGGGCGGTTGGACGGCGCTGCAAACGTGGCCGGCGTCATTGGCAAACACCACGGCATTCGAGCCGTCGCGGATCTTGAAGACGACGAGTGGCATAAGATCATTGCTGTCAACTTGACAGGCTGCATGTACTGTCTCAGGGCGGAACTCAGAAACATAGCGGACGGCGGTTCCATTGTCAACGTGGCCTCGATTCATGGCATCAAGGGTACGCTGCATCTTCCTACTGCTCAAACTCGTGAAGCTTCCCTCGTCTGACTAGCTCTTGATAGGTTTCGCCAAACACGGCGCATATGATGCTAGTAAGCACGGCGTGATAGGGCTCACTCGAGCGGCAGCCAACGAGAACGGTGCCCGAGAGGTTCGAGTCAACGCTGTTGCTCCCGGCGCCATCTACACACCATTGATGGAGAAGGCTTGGAAATTTCATGATCGCGCAGCCGACGCCGCCTTTGACGAGCCAACGTCTTTTCAACGTCAGGGCACTGCTGACGAGTGCGGAAACGTCATTGCTTTCCTGCTCGGCCCAGAGAGCTCGTTCGTGAGCGGGAGCGTCTATCAAGTCGATGGAGCGTGGTTATGAGCCACAGACGGCTCGGCGAGGCTTGCGAGGAAATGATAGTCGGGGTTTTTTGCTAGGATTGGGGCTGTTTGCTCTTCACCAGACATCAGATGGGTCAACCTCGTGCTTCTCCCCATCGTCTCTAATATGCTCGAGCTTGACGTCCCTCTTCATTGGCTTCCTCATGTCATAAGCATCCTCGCCGTCTCGGGTAGGGTCTGTAGCATGGTCGCCATAGTAATCTTTCACCACGCGGAAGACGCTGTAGCCCATGCTCTTGTAGAATGTAATTGCCTTGTGATTGCTCGTGCGAACAAAGAGGTCAACGAACCAGGCATCGTTGGCGTCGGCTGCGGCTTCTAGCTGTTCGGAGAGAATCTTGCCGATACCCAGTCTTCGCGCTTCTGGCGCAACGGTCAGAGCGGTGATGTGGGCATGCCAGGGAAGGTAGTGTTCGGAATATTTGTAGACGTCGGGCGATGACTCCAGCTTGCCCATGACTAAAGCATCAAGTCAGACAAGTCGAGCAAAGCGTAGCTGTGTTCTCAAACATACTGTAGCCGATGATATTGCCGTTCATGTCCTCGCACACCTGGAACATGGCTGGCCATTTGGCATGGTACTGGAGGTAAAAGGCCAGCTCATACGTCTCGGTCAAAGGATCGAGGTTGCATTTAGAGAACTTGTTGACATCGTCAGGACGGAAGCGGCGAAAGGTTGCCATGGCCGCCGAAGTGAATGCGCGGCCGGCGATCAGTTCAAGAATGGAGGGGGGCTCCAGGCGGCAAGGGAGGGGTTGATGTCGGGAGATGGCAATCGTAAAGGAGCTACACCAAGCGGCAAAGAGTGTAAGACGGTTCAAGAGAACAACGTACTCAAACAAAGCTTCAAGGCAGGAAGTGGAGTCGAAATCGTTGTTACTGCCTCATCAATAGCTGCCGTGGAACGGGGAAGGAGCTTTTCGGAGCCGTCTTGCGGCGTCCAGGTTGTGTTCGGTGGCACCAGATAAGGGACGATAAAGGGCCTGACTCCACCACATTCCATGTCTGGCTGGAAGCGAATGGAGGGGAAGCACGAAAGACGGGAGCGTGTTTTTAATTTTCTTGTGCCGACTGAGGCTCCGGCGCGTGCATCTCTGCCAAGTATATTTTCCCAGTTGAAGCAGGTGAAAGATACATCGGCCAGATGCAGGGACCACGTCTGCCACTGCCTGTATCAGCAGGAGTGACAACTTCCCCCTTCCGGATAGATTCAGATTCAGTGTCAGCGGTCAAAGTTCTGAGACACAGCACTAGGTAGGGGTCCGTCGGCAGTATTACCTGAGGAGCCTCGAGGCGCCACAGGAAGACGAGTATGATCTTCATTTCTTCGACAACATTTTTCCCGGAGTTTTCTTTGAGCCCACTTCTACCACCAGAAGCCAAAGGCCCAGTGAGTAACGCACAGGCGCAAGGGCTCTCTCTCATTACAACATAGTCTCTATCCATCCCTCTTCCGATAAACCAAACAACAAAGCAGAGCCCGCCGGATTGCAGTAATTGGACCGCTGGCGCCGAATCGATGCCAGCCCGCCTCTGAAATTAATAAAACCAGTGATAATCTCAACCTCGCCCACGGCCACCAGGCCAATACACAGCACTCCCTGACTTGTGTGCATGGGATGGGCCGCCAACACTGATTTCTGCTCCGCCTAGACTGTTGTTTAGGTAGCCCATTTTTTGCACGACTGCTGTTTTCCTGGTGCCAGGCCGTCTCTACACGCTTCCCGCACCCATCTCCACCTGGATCTTCCTTGCCGTGTATTTGATGCGACAACCCCTGTTGTTTATCACTGCACCAGCAACCCCGGGACAGACAAGCAACAACATTGCATTCATACTCGACTATTTGGGCTGCCAGCACACGTACGTTGCGGAGCGTCATCGACTCGGTCTTTTCCCATCATAAAGTGCTGCTTGGACGGCTTCACCGAACACGTCCGCCGCTGTTCTCGCCGACCGACCGATCGCAACTTTCCCTCGTCACACCGTCAAGATGCCTCAAACTCCGGGACACTCGCGCAACCATTCGGGCGTTGACGGCTCGTACCAGTACAACAGCGTCAACTCCTCCCCTCAGAATAGACGAACATCCAGGTCCTCCGCCGATCCCGCAACGCCCTTGCGCAGCAGCTTCAACAACCAAGACGCCCTGGATATCTCATATGCGAGCGGAGGCATGGACGGAGGCAACGGGCTAGGCAATCTTGCAGATGAACTGGCCGACGCCTTCTCCGACTCTGGAGACGAAGGAGAGTACTACGAGGAAGAGACAAACAACGACGAGAACAACGGAAGTGGGACACCAAACATTAATGTTGAAGAAGCCACCTTTGAAGGAATAAGGGACAGCGGGGTCGACGTTGCAAGTCTCGGCGAAGCCGGCGGCAAGGGAAAGAACTTCAATCTGGGGCCACCACCAGCCGCTCAACGCGGTCATCGACGGAGCGGGAGTGAATATGACGGAAGCGAATATGGATCCGAGTCTGACCTTGACTCCCCCGGCATGCTGCCCAGTCTCGTTGCCAAGATGGATGCCGTCGAGTCTTTGGCGAGGAGGGGTACTGAGAGTAATGGAGGACCTACGGATGGTGTCTTCAGCCGGGTAACGGAGGGCTTGAGAGACTTGGGCTCGCAAGCCGGCGTCGAGGGCAGTGCGACAAGGCAAGTTCAAGACGGTTCACCCGCAGTTGCGGCCATTGACTAACCAAAGTAGACTTATCACCGCTCATTCGGCCCTTACTACCCACTTAACTCATCAGACCCGGCAACTACACAACTTGACCTTCCCGCTCCTTTCTCCACTCGTGCCACCGCCGGACTCGGAGACCATCGATGAGCTGCTACCCCTTTTGATTGAGCTATCCGAATCGATGCCGCGACCAACAACGAAAGCCTACGACTCCCTCACAGCCCTCCACACCCTCACCTCGGACCTCGTCCAGAGCCTCAACTACCTCTCAGACACACTTCACATGTCCAGGCAAACGACCACAACGGCCACGCGTCGGTTGAAGAGCGCCAAAGAGCTGGTGGCCGAGATCAAGAGGGAAGAAGAGCTCCGGGAGGAGGGTGAGAGGTGGATCAACCGAGGTAACTGGAGCGAGAGGTTGGCCAATCGCGAGTGCGCGGGCGTATGCGGAGATGTCGTCGGAGGGTTCGAGGAAGTGTGCAACAGCTGGCGGGCACGCCTGCTGGAGCAAGCCGGCGCTGCACAGGCTTGAGTACGCTTATACGTGCCCTACGGGATGGAAGGTCTGATAGGGGTGACTGTGGTTACTGCCATTGCGGGTTCGAGAGGCGGATTTCTCACGTTCCCAGAGTTTGGCTAATACTGGATTTTGAGGTCTTGGTCAGGCGGGCGATAGAAATCAACGGCGTGCTTTTGGGTAGATCCGGGATCTTTGGCGGAATTCCCAGCGCTCGCAAACTTGTTAGACTACATGAATTTTACGAGTCGATGAAACACGAAGAGCCATGGCTGAGCAGGTATCATTGCACCTACGAAGGGAAGGAAATGCTAAGAGCAGACAGTAGAGTTCTTATTTTGAAGACAGAACTTTCACTCTATTCAGCCTCTACTCTGTTGCGACGCAAAGTCAATGACCAGATGGCAGGACACAAGATTCAAAGTCAAGACGGTTGAAAATCATGCTACGTGATACTGCAAGAACTTCAGAAACCCCTACGGAAAGCTAGGTCACGTCGCATTATTACGCAGGGCCGGGGCGGGTAAACAGATGATCGAAAAGGGCGCAATGTCCAGTCTAGGGTTGCTTACATGGCGAATGTGGCTACTTTTTGCTTACATATAATCAGCTGGTTGCTGTCAAAAACGAGAAGTTTCGCTTTACAGCTTGATCACACCTAGTTTGAGTCAGAAATGCAGTTCAGCGGCTGCTCCTTTGTGACGTAAGATTAATTTATTATCATTCTGCTCTCTCTTTTCCTCCAATTCCGTCAGGTATATAGGAGATTTATATCAGCGCTGTAGCGAGGATTTCCAATTTAACAAGGCTAAAATTAATGCACAGAATTGTAATGGTATCAAGTAGATCAACACCAACGGCACCTCCGAAACACCGCCCCTCCAGGGAAAAGCAAAGAACTTTGCAAGGAACAAACAGAAAGATTGAGCACAAGGCTTATGACTGACTAATCCTCCTCCAGCCTTACAGTATACGCAGGCCGGGATGGCCCTCCGTCGGGGTCATCGAAACCGCCCGGGATTAGAGGTCGACGCTGCGCACTGACGGGACCCCGGCTGAGCCGACTCGACTTGCTCGCGCGGCTGGCGCGGCTGCCAGGGCGGTCGGAGGGGACGTCAACGTCAAAGTCGGCGGGGGCGTCGACCTGGACCTCGTCGCGGGCGCGGTTCATGGCGGCGAAGCTCGAGAGGGACATTTTGTCGTCGACGGAGGGACGGTGTTGCGACCCGGCTTGCTGCTGCTGCTGGAACTGCTGCGCGATGCCGGGGGCTCTCCGGAGCCGGCCGTCTACGGGCGGGGCTTGATTACCTCGCTTCATGCCGGCCTCGGACTCGTCGTCGACGAGGACGACCATCCAGACACCTACGGCGCAGTTGCTGCCCAGCAGGGGCGTGCAGTGGATCCAGCGGACGCGGCCTTCGCTGTTGGACTTGGTGAGCCAGCGGACTTTGGCGGTGACGCCGTGGCCGTCGGCGAAGGCTTGGGAGAGGCCGTCGCGGACACGGTTGGAGCCGCCTATCCTGTCCATGAAGTTGGACTGAAGGATGCCCGGGAGGCGGAGGGAGGGGGAGGCGAAAAGGATGCGGAGGCTGGGGTAGGGCCGGACGAGGAGGTAGTGCTCATAGACGCCGGAAAGCTTGCCGCTCGTCAGAGGCACAGCTGGGTTGGACTGATGGACGGAGGAGGACTCGTCCTGGATTAGGATGCGTGGCTTTTGCCAGTTTGTCGAGGATGCGGCCTGGCCTTCATCTTGCGGGACGCGGTGCATGTTTCCGCCGCGTCTGCGTACGGTTTCGAGTTCGTTCATGTTGAACATTTCGCTGAGCTCCTCAAACTCGTCCTTTTCTTCCTCGTTGTCGTGTCGCTGCTGCTGGTTTTGGCCGTTGATGGTGCCGACGGCCTCCTTCTCGACGACTAGGTTCTGCAGAGCATCCAGACCCGAGCTTTCTTTCGCGAGACCGGAGACGTCGACTTGAGCGCCGATGAAATAGCGGACTGTGCCGCGACTATCGTATAGCGGCGCCACCATGAGGAGGTTCATGAACGGGGAGCCGTCTCTGCGGTAGTTGAGGAAGGTTTCGTAGTGCTCCTTTCCAGCCAGGATCTTGTCGCGGATACGTCGTACACTAAAGGGGTTGGTCTTTGGACCTTGTAGGAAACGGCAGTTGCGGCCAATGACATAGTTCATGCCGTATTGAGTCGTGCGGTGGAATTCTGTAAATGACAGTCAGCTGCTGTGGAACCTGGATAAGGAGAAGGATGTATATACATACCCTCGGAAGCAAAGACAATGGGGTTGTCGTTTCTCGAAGGATCCGTCAAGCAGAACACTTCTGCCAAACCCTCGGACATTTCTCTGAGCTGAACCGGAAGAGTGCCTGTGATACGCCTCTTGATTGACACGCTGACGGTCTGGATCCAAGTATGGGTTATGTAGGCGGGAAGGTCTTGCTGAACAAGCACGTCGAAAGCAGCTTCGGCCTTCTTTCTCAAGGAGCTGTTGATTGTGCTATCGGTGTTTGCCATTGAGAATTCGTGTCCGGGCAGAGTGTCGAGGCCACCCGCGATCGCGTTGGCATACGCAATGGCCCGGAGTGCTTTTAAGCAGTCCAAGAAGTAGGTCAGTAGGGGGAGCGATTCGGGTCGGGCATGGTGAAGGAAGTCGGTAAAACGTTGGAGGAGTAAGTGATCATCAAAAATGGCCTGCAAATGGTCTTTTGAGAAGAGAAGCTCGGAGCGGGTTTCCAGCGAGTACTGTCCGTTGTCGCCATGAGATGGGACTACTAGGTCAAACGAGCCAGGCTCAACTTCCTCTTCGGCCAAGGGCTCGAGAATCTCGTCATCGCCAGCGCCTTTCGTCTGCAGAGCTGGGAGTGATGTATTGTTTGTTTGATATGAGGACGATGTCGAGTTGGCCCTGGACCTTGAAGAACGTGTTCTAGGGCTCCTTGGTGGGCTTGAGGACATTTGCCGCTGCTGAGCGTGGAGAGGTTCGGGAGACTTTACTCTGCCTCTTTCTCTTGGGGGAATGTCAGGAGAACGAACAGCACTTTGGTGAGGTGTTAGCCGACATTGCTCTCGACTTATACAATAGATACATCTCTCCTCTTACCTTCTATCTGGCCGAGGGGCTATGGTATTGGGATTGATGGGCCCATGTCCATGATGTGCGGTCCAGTTCCTATCCTCGTCATCCTCCCAAGCCTCTTGGAACCTCGACGGGTTCAAGGGGCGGTCCTGATGCATCTTGGTGACTGGACGCTTCAGTGGAATGTCAGGAATATCGGCGCCGCCTTCGTCAAAGTCTACTTGTTGCTGCTTCTGGCTTTGCAGAGACGTGACACTGAGAGAGCTGTAGCCGTTCATTTGAGGTTGGGTGAGTTCACCGTGCCTGTGTCGGCGGTGGTTTGTGCTGTGAGCGGCAGCGACCTGAGCCATGTGCTTCTTTCGCCGGAATAGTGCTAATACAGAACGTGGTCCAGAATGATCACGGGCCGCAGATGTATCTGTTGATTGGGGCATTATCACGGGCGTTGGGGGAATGAAGAAGGATTTATATTGGGTTTGGACGAAGGCTGATCGTAGGAGAAGAGGATGAGCATCAAATGTCAAAGGAAGATAGCCGTGGGGCGCACCAGCCATGGGCATCCCACAACGTCATCCAGCCAGAGAGCAGGACGGCGCCGTATAGAACAGCGGGGAGGCGATCAAAGGAGAGGGGCTCTGCAGAGACGAAGCAGATAGCAAGCTAGGAGGGTGTGCGAGACCAAAGATCGACGGACGCCGATACTAAACTATTGACGGGCGAGGCGGAAGAAGCGCAAGCGGGCATGTCAGGCACATTTGCCTACATATGGATAGAGCCAACATACTTTTCGTCAGGTACCCGTGAACCCGTCCCCTGCCCTCTTTCAAGGCTGGGTCCCCAGCAAGGCGCCAACATGGGCGGCAATCAAACAAGAATGGGCGAAAACCCACAGCGTTGCGTTGCAGTAGTCTGCGCGAGAAGGAGGTTCCCACGATGTGTGGTTATGGAAGAATGCCATTCGACGGCCGAGCGGAGAATGATCGCCCACTAGCAGAGCTGAGTATAGCTCCTGACCTTGCAAAAGAGATTTCTGAAGGCTGAAGAGGCCAGAACCTGGACGCCGGGCAGTCTTTGTTCGGTTTTCTGGCAGAACCTAGACACTTGCTGACGGGTTGGGGTTAGCCCCATTGCTCATCTGAGCCACGGACACTGCACGGCCTTTGGGGGCTTTTTGGTTCGGGTGAACCAAGCCGTCGTCATCCATAATGTTCTTGTCAACGGTTCGGCGATGCCAGGGCCATCCTGATATGTCAAGAAAAGGCTAAAGGGGGGCGACATGAATGCTCCGACCCAAATCGGCACTTGCAAAACTGTTTCGCGCGCTCTGCAGTGTTACCAATCAAGACGTCAGGCCTGGTGTTAGCCATGCTAAATAAGAAAATAACAGACGGCGATGTCAAGCCAGGAGATAGATCATAGACGGGCTTTGACGGGGAAGCACGAGCAGCTTCCTAGCATTAGGTTAGTTTCGGGAGGTGGTAGAGTGACCAGAGTGCATATGCAATATAGTTACCTTCTTTCGACAATGTACCAGTACACACCATTCTCTGTCTCCGTGTCCGTTTACTCCCCTGCTACGCTTGCATCTTCTGCTGCCATCTTGACTCAGGCACTGGCCGTGAAAGATGCTAAGGTATGTGTACCTCTTGCTGCAAGTTGTGACCTCCCAGTGGTGGGATTTCACCATGCCCGCCGCAACAGCAATGGTCGAGAAAAGGGCAAGACGAAACTTCGGCAAGAGAGTTGCCTGGGGTCCTCTGTAGAATTCAGGTTGCCGTGTACGGATACACTGCAGGTTGACTATGGCAGTCTTGTTGACCACCTGGCACCATGCCACAGTACATAGCCAGGTAATGTAGGATTGGGCGTGAAGATGGGAGAGAGCAATACTGTCTGTGCTACCTCAATTGGCAAAGACGGGGATGCT